TTAGTTTAAATTATATGAAAAAAATAATGCATTTATCAATCTAATGCGTTGTAACCGAAAAGGCAAAAATGTGTTTTAACGTCAATTGAAGTGACAAGTATTGAATTATGCGTAAATACACAAAAATGCACTTAGGAGAGAGAAAGCAAAAAAACTGCGCATATACATAATATACACTTTTTGGCATTAATATTGGTATTAATATAGAAATTCGAAATAGTGAAAAATGTCGAGTCATGGAAATGCTGATAAAAAAAAAACTATATTATTTAATATTTAGCAAAAAAGTATTATTTTTAAGGGTAATTGTTAAAAGTAAAATAGCAGTATAGTCGCTATATCAATTACCAAGTAAAAAACACAATGGTGTAGTGAAAACAATGACTTGTCGAACAACCAATTTTTAATTAGTACATACTTTGAGCTAATTCTAAGTCTAAGAAAGTTACTTGAATTTTCATTGCTAACCATTTTATATTAAATACAAATCATACTTGAAACTTTTTCCATAATAAAATTACTGTAACGTGAAATTAGATTAGGTACCCTGTGTGTGTGTGTGTGTAAGGTTATTAATTTTTCCTCCCCCATAACCCTTAGATGTGTGTAAAAGTCACCCCTATAAGTCTGTAAAAACGCACTAGTCGATAATAATAATATCTAATATTTAACAAATAAAATATATTTATCTTTATAGCTCAGGTTTTATTATATTGGGCAATGTGGGTTTTATTTGTCAAAAAAGTAATAACTTTTATTCGATAAAAATGATTGTATAATTGGGAAATTCGCTTAGAGGTTGGTCGCCAATTGAAACGGCTCGCCTCGACCAAACTTATACAATTCAGTTCGAAAACAATAATTGTGTACTTATCACTATCGTCTTAAGAGTTGAAGTTTTAAGCGGTCGTCGGCCGAGTCCTATTCGATAAACTTGTGTATAATTATAATATCGCAATATTAAACGCATCTGTAGGTATTTGCCTTTAATTATAATAATTAGCGGCGTCAACTTGATCGAGTCGACTTGATAAAAGAGTTAAGTAAGTATTTTAGCGCTGAAGCAAAGTCTTATATATAAGCCTTATAGAAGGCAAATAAATGTACTTGTAGATCAAAATATAATTAACAAATATAATGAACAAATCCAAAATATATTTATTTGATTCTATCGCATCAACTTTTTACTTAAATCATACAACAATTATTATTATATTTATGAACCAATTAAATCTGATTTATCACTTTTTTTTTTTAAGGTGGCGAAAATAGGTCGTTAAACTTTAAAATTTAGCATAAGAGGAAGATTATATTTTACAGTTAAGTTGTACAATAAGATAAATAATAATAATAAATGTTTTCACAAAGAAAAACCATATAGTTGTAAATGTTTTCCTAACTGTATGTATATTATATTGAAGTCTTGAGTACCTATATAGAGTCTAACACAAACGCATACTATATTATTTTAGCGACGCACAATCGATGGCTCCGGCTCGCGTTGGGTTATCGATAGTGAACGGCGCGGCGGCGGCGGCGGCGATGAATCCCGGGCGTCAAGCCGTCTACGTCACCCGCGTGTCTACGCTTACGACGGTCGGTCCGGTTGCCATTGGCGACCGCGGCGCGGATATGCGGGGGGGGGGGGCAACGGCGGGACGGGAGGGAGGCCGCGAAAAGTCCCGTCGCACGCGGGTCTCATTGATTCATCTCGCGTACGGCACCCCCGGCCGCTCCATGTTCTCGGCGCGCGGCGCGTGGGAACAGCAGCCTTTCCGTTTTGCACCTACGGTACACACCCCGCGCCCGCCGCATCGGTCGTCCTGGCAACGGCCGACATGTGGACGGCGGCTGCGGCGGCGGCGGCGGCTGCACCGCGGTAGCCTCTACGGCGTCGGCGGACCGCTCGGGTGGCGGCGCGGTGGCTGCGCTCGTTCTCTTTTTGCGCCGCCCGAGAGTTTACCGAAAACATCACGGGTTACGGCCGCCGGGTCGGCTACAGGCCGCGCGGCCGTGCGACCCGTCCCGCACAGTGGCGACGGCGGCGGAGAGGTCACGGGCCTTTGGGAATTATATTGCAACCGAAAGTGATTTAAAGCCCTTTTCATACGATCGAGTATTAGTGCTGTTAGTGCGCGTCGTACCGGGTATACGGTAACTTGCAACTCAGCGGCGTATCCGGGGAACGAGACGGGGGGGGGGGGGCGACGGGGGTAATCGGTTTTGGCTAGAAGTGGATTTGGATATTTTTCGAAACGGTCTACTTTGGTTCGAGTTCGGCTAAATTCTGAATAATTGCCAACAACGGTATCTCGTCTATCCTCGTTGTTATCGCATCTCCTATCTGCCTGGAAAAATAATAGTTTCAGAGATTATCCCGTGGACACAGAACTCGATTCGAAACCAATATCGATTGTCCACCGCTAATAAGGGTGCTGGGAGTTTCTTACCCCATGTAAGGGGTTACACGGTGTCGTTATATCGTATTATTTTTCATTAGGTACATTATTAAAATATAATATGAAATAAAATATCATAATAAAATGTATTCAATAATATCGCTACACCAAAGCGAACCCAAATGCTGTCTGTATAAAGAGAGGATTATCATTTTATTACAAGAGGGTGATTTCAAGATGAGAAAATGATCATTATTGTTTATTTTAACTGGAGCGGCCTAACAATATGTCGACAATGAGAAACAAGTGTTTTACGTGCTTTGTGCATTGCCCGCTCAAAGTCAATGATATATATTATATATATATACATACGTACACTATCAATATCAAAGGAATATTGTAATCAAATTGTTATGGTATTATATTAGTGAGCACTTGATCTTTAAAATGGTACCTAATTTATCTATTTCGGTCAAGTGTAAATGGAGCAAAAAAGAATGTTACAAAACAAAAAATCTACCCATATATATTCAACACCAAACAAAAACATTGTGCAGTGGATTTTTGGCGAATCATTAACATTATAAATTAACATACAATCTCGTGTAGCAGAAGCTGTGTGACAGCTGCAATAGCTGTTGTCGCAGCGTTAGTTTAGTCCAAGAGATTTACACGAGAGAAAAATAATAAATGGCCAACATAAATCCGTCGTGTGATCGACAAGAGAGAATTAATGAGTTTCGACTAGATGTACGCAACACAACAATATAGTAAATCAGTATTAAGTTTATACAGGGTGATCCGATTGTCGCCAGACACCCGAGCGCTTGGGTAATAATTACAATTTTATAGTTATTTTTTTTTTAAGATTTATCAGGTTATTCTATTTTACACCGTGCCATCGACATTTTTGAAACTTAAACGGAAAATTAAATTTTTTTATTAACCTAAAAAAAAAACAATAATTTGCTGAAAATGTTTTTTATTTGCCATTTTCAGCAACGGCTTTGGGCTAAATCGAAATGATCATCTAAAATACATTATATATTTGATAGAAAATAATTTATATTTTGTTTTTACAAACAAATTTTGTTAGAATAAAAAAAAAAGGGACGCATACAAAAACCTGGAGATTATTTACTAAACAAACAGTTTCTGTATAATAAATTCAAATTAAAGTAGGTGTATTTCAATGAAATTAAAATACATGTTTGTTTCAATAAAAACTCGACTAATAAATATATTTGAAAAATCATCTAAATAATAATTTCGAACAAGTTAATATTAATATCTTAATTTAGGTGAAAAATGTATTTAAATACAATTAGTTCATATTATGAAATAAAATAAATATCTTGTTACCTACTTCAAAAATCAAATTTTTTTAACACTATGCAGAACAATACACTTTGGTGTGATGCCTAACTGATTATTTTTTTAAACCCAATAATTCCCAAGATACAAATACAATATATATTTATATTTTTTTGTGATATACACCTAATTAAGGTCCGAAAAGTGTCTAAAGTTTTCGGATACAACGCAAACCACATCCGAATTTAATGTATCACATTTGGAGTGCTGTGTATAATGAAATGTCAGCGAGGATGAGTTATGAATTTTGCGTGGAAACACCACATGTGCTTCCGTGAAGTTTGAATGTTAATATAAATTTTAGCCAACGCTCGCGCTGTAGTTTTTTCAACAGTTTATATACATATTCATACAATATCATGTGGAATATTATATTCTCTTGTTTGTTAACATCTGTAAATATTTTTGTACTTAACCGTCAAAAAACGTTTTTTTAGAGCTCTGCGTTTGATAATAATAATTATAAAAAAAAAAAAAAAACGTGTTAACAAAGATTAGGCATTTTATCTTATTGGAAATTTGCCCTTATCGTTTACACCGTTTAGTGTAAAGTAAAGCAGTAACTGACAGCTACTGAAAGAGAGTATTTTTTTTTTTTTTTTATGCCATAAGAAGGCGAAGCCCTACATAAATTAATGTAGTAATAATTTTAAAGCGAGTCAGAGTTTTTTTTTTCTTCTACAAAGAGAGTATAGAAATATCACCCTTTGTGTCAGGGGTGCCAAAAAAAGTTTATTAGCTTTAAGAAAAAAGTACTCGGTCGACAGTACGATTTCGACCGGATAAAAATAATTTTATGCAATCTGTCTCTTTTTTTTTTTTTTTTCATAAACCGCAAACACAATTAATCAAACCAGATCATAATCAACGGCGTGCATCATTCTTGTTTATCGAGCTTGATAATGTATAATAATATACATTCGCTATAAACGTCACCGTTGGAAATTCAGAGTTAAAAAAATAAATAAAAAGGTTAATTAAAAATGTTCTTAATGGACTGTTGTGTGTACACTTGGAAGTCATCGCGATGAAAATTGAGGGAGACCAACAACGTCGCCCTTGTTAGTTGTTAGAGGTGAATATAAGGCTATCTGGTCAGCTCTGGTTTCGTTCAATGTCTAATTGGACAAAACGCCATTACCAAGACCTCGGAGAGACTGTTCGACATGGCGATCACGTCCGTATATACAGTAGTAAGTACAGCTGGTACACAAAAGTCGTGCCTACCTTAGTTGGAACATTACACTGTCGATTTTCGATCCAAGTCCATTAAGTGCGGTTTCCACCGCAGAGATCAACCTCTCCTCTGTCGCTGCACTTGTATTTGTCTGCTCGTCGTTGGCCCGGAGTCCTTTTTCGACTAGTTATTAAAACCAACTCGTGTAGACCTGGAAATAAAATAGTCTCTGGTCAACCCCAAAACACATAGCTCGGCATTTTTTAATGAGTATATTTGGGACAAAAACCTCTGACAAAGTACTAAAATGTGTGCACCGAGTGTTTAAATAATTGTGAACAATCAGACAACAACCGTGGTCATAGTTAACCAACCAATCACTGTGTATACATTTATACTGTTGTAGCTAGGATATTATTCAAACGTTTGCGCCCGAATTTCGGCCGTTTTTCTTGTTCTCTTAACGTTTAAGTACACCTTTTTTTTTTTTTTTTTCCCGGTTTCACCCACACGCTATACTTGTACACCGCATTTGCCTTGGGTCGAATTTCCAGGGTAAACCCTTTATTTTTTTCCTTCTACATAACAATGAAATATGTTAACACCGTTTCCGAACGTGAGGAGCCTTTACCTAAAACATTTGTCTTCGTTTCTAACGCGGTAAATGGGGTGCCATCGCCGCCGGGCTTACTACATCTAATGGAAGTATATCTCATCGTCGAAGTCTACACAATATGTGTGTACTTACAAAGTACACAAAGCAACGCCAAAACGGAAACAAATATTATGGGGCACTTGACGACAACGGCGTATATTTATATTGTGACAACGATAACGGTTTCAAGCACAACTCGCTGATGACCAATGCGCATTTCACAGCTGTGCCTTATCAATAGCAGAGCATCAGGGTTTCGGACGATGAAGTGCACCATCTGGGTTCGCCTAACCTGTGTTCATATATTTTCCCTCAAAAAACTGTCCATCGCATCTCTCTCGAAGCCTTTTTTTTTTTACAGTGCCAACCGTGCAACCGTTTTTCTGATGAATTTAAGCAAAAAACCTAACCACCCCCCGTGTTGTGTACAAATGATCCGAAACGCGTCCCACGCACAAAATTCGACGTGCACTAAGACCTCTGTATTGGTCTACACAACCCACTACTGCTGCTATGCAATTCAAATCACTGTCATCCGGTCGTTTTTGAATTTAATTGCTCGGCTCAGTTCGACGGTGATGCTCTGCAGGGATCATGTCCTCATTTGTACCCTGCGGATTGTAATTAGAAATCGAACGAGGAGAGGCATAAATTATAAATACAATATGTTTTGGGGCAGAAGGTTTTGTGTTTTTTTTTTCTTCGTTTTTCATGTTTTTGTGCAAACCTCTCGTGTACACTGAACTCGAGTGAAAGTAGCCGCGGAGTTAATTGAATTTCGAATGTATGGTTTTTTTTATTATTATTATTATTATTATTTTTTTTTTTTGTAATCGAAAAAACCCAATTACAAAAACGACGTGGCCGTTTCAGCAAACGCCGAAATTTAATTAATCGTCGCCGCAATTTCGATCGGTAAACATTTCTAAACTGTTTTCAGATAGCCATTTTAACTATTGCAGACTTGGTTCTTCTTGGATTTTAATCACAGCCGTGTTCCGCTTCTGTTCGTAGTGTTTTCTAACGAAAGAACTGATAAATAATTATCTGATAAGATATGAGAGATGAGAGATAAGATATAAGAGATAAGAGGTTAGTGATAAGAGATTAGAGATAAGTGATAAGAGAATATTTATCATTATTTTGTTTTTGAGTTGAGTTTTTAAGTTTTATTTACTATAAAGTTTCCGAAACTCAAACCGAAAGCATATCGTAGGCATGTCAGTCGAATATTAAAACGGTTTTCGGCGTGAACGGAACTCTCATTTAGGGAGTTTGAAATTCGACCCTAGACCGACGGTTAAGTTTTGTTTGTGTTTTCATTACCTGATGTGGAGACCGACAACTGGCAACGGTAAGTATAAGTTTTGTGCTTTTGGCTTTTAACCCACGACCCGCAGGACGAATATCGATTGATAGTTCACACATTTGAAAATCGATAATATACATATTATGATTTATGTACCTTTAAATGATACATTTAAAAAATATAAAAGATACTGAATTTTGCCTAACCATTATTTCAGTGTGCCAAAACAGAACACGTCTGACCGAAATGAAGCGTTAAAACGTTTTGCCTTCAAACGACATCAGGCAATACCTTTTTAACTGATCAAATAAACGAATAACAGAACCTTATAAACGAGTAAATATTTATATTTTTGCACTTTTTTTCAGTATAAATTATTGCATTTTAAACCGTGTCCATTCGGGTAGCATATTTTGTTTTAATACCGGCGCATTTTTTTTTTTAAGCTGAACCGTTTTAATTCACTTTGGCAAAACGCGGGCAAAACTATAAAAAAAAAAAGAAACAAAACAAAAGGCTCTGCCATCTGACGGGTTACGCGATTAGGACCGGATTAAATCCAAGCCAGGTTTTTATTCATTTTTTCTTCTTATATTCCAGTGCGACAATAAAACAAAAAAAAGCACAATACAATACTTTTGTCCGACATTAAAAAATATATTATATTAACGATAAATGTTTGCAAAAATTAGAGGAGGAGGCTCGAGAATTGGCCAATAAGGATACATACAATATTATTAATGATAAGATGTTCTTAATTTAGTCGGGTGTCGACAGGTTGAATGCCTCAAAAGTACCTAGTACAAATTTATACTTAAATTTAAGTACTGTTTTTTTTTTCGTTAGCATAACAGTATTACATTTAAAAAATATATATATATATATCATATATCTGCATACCTTTTAGGATTGGAGATGTATGTAGGTAATAATACATTATGCTGATATTTTAATTAGACAACTAAAGTAAAATCTAAATATGTTTGGTCTTAACAATTGACTTTATATTTTTCCTTATTTCCAAAACTGATTATCATCATAACGGTTTTTATGCAGGTAAAAATATTATATTTAATTATTAAAATTAAAAACAACTACATACAGTTAACAAAAATACTAATAATTTATATTTGTCAACCAACTTGTTGTTGATAATATGCACAACGTAATATTGATTTTTTTTTTTAAGAAATAACCAACTTAAATTCAAAACTTATCATTTACCTACTCATTTCAGTGCCAACGCCAATTATCTGAAATCATTTTTCAATCTGATTTCATCGCTCTCGGTTAGAATAATTTCTACAGCCCTCTGACTACACGCCGACCTCACTGTACCTATTGTTTTTTTTTTTTTAATGAGATTAAACCGAGTCTGTATTTATGTATTTATTTCAAACCGACACACGCAAAGCCCTATATAAATACTTGTATTTTTTGTCGATAATAAATGTATAAAAATATTATTTTATCCGCGTCGCTGCGATATTGCTTAAGCATTGGTTTATTAAAATGAATTTACTCCACAGGTCGCGCGAAAAATAAAAATGATAAATCGTTTTTATCATTCGAAAATATGCCTCGACGTCGAAAGGCGTTCAACTTTAACTAATCCGGTTAAAAGTTTGCCAACAAATATACAGGGTGAGATATCTATTTAAAGTGTAATACACTCACAGTCTGTGTAGACCGTTAAATGGGTTTAGTTTGTCACGTTAGGATTGAGTAACGGCTCTTAATGCGCTAAAAAGAAGAGTAGTTTGACGATTCGGGCTGTATAATATACATAATAATAAAAATAGAAAAATACACCACTGCGCGGTAGAACGTGGCAAAAAAGAAAGCCCCTGTAATATTATTGTCACTGCGGTTCGGTTGTAACTTCTGATAATAGAGATAAAAAAAGTCTAAAGGGTCGAATAAAATCGTATCGAGCAGTTGTTGCAACTTTAACACAAATCAAATATTCCTCAAACCAATGTACGGAATAAAATAAGTCATGTGTTGTCTTTAAATTATGCCTTTTGTAATGTAAGTTTTTTTCAAGCCACTTTCAACTATTTCAAATAATATCAATGATGATGTACGCCAAGTGTGTGTACAAGGTAACACAATATAATGTGTTCCCGTACCTAAAATAGTATTTACTTTTGAATCGCCTACTAAAAAAAATATTGCCGTTTTCTTATGGCAAAAAAGTAAAAAATAATAACAGAAAACTCGAGTGTCGTTCTTGACTCGCCGAGTCGACCGCTTTGGACTTTTGGGAAACGACTTCAGTAATAAAAAAAAAAAATACACGATGAATATAAATATATTTTTTTTGTAGTATTTGTGTTCTATAATAATAATGATTTCACGACAAAAGCTTGGGGAAGTCATGAAAAGTAATAGCAGTAAAATGCCTGCCTACCTAGAGTATTAGCCAAGGGTAGTGGCAAATTGTTTTACCAAACCCTCCTCGAGACCTTTCGACCGTCAAACCATCTCTGGACATATTATTATAATAATAATATCCCAATTGTAATATATTACTGTTGTTTGCTCGAATAATATTTATTCCGTTTAGTCCGGAACCCAAACGGACGTTAAACGTAAATTTACTTAAAAAAAACAATCTAAATTGTATCTCTCTTTCAAACATAAAAAAAAACGAGTACACTGATGCAATATAGAGCCATAAATCTTTTTAAATGTCAGAAATACAAGACGTTGAATACAATATGGGTACCGTTTTTTGTATATTTTTTATTGGTTCGTCCGGTTCTGGCCGTCTTCTCCAGAATTTGGTATCAAACCGTTTGGTAGTCGTATTTTATTATTGTTATACGATAGAAAATTATGGTTAATACATTTATCAAACAAATATTAGCTTCTCGAGTCGAACAACATAAAATCGCATATTACAACTTTGTATTTTTTTTTTTCTTCAAGACAACAGTGTCTGTTTTGTAATTTATTTACTATGCCAAATAATTATTTCAAAACGTCGGACTCCAATAGAGGGTTACGGTCTTTTTTAGACCCAAAGCCCGGATTCCGTGGCCGAGACACGATACATGTACTCGATACTGTATACTTTATTGACCGAATGAATAATATACATTATTGTTGAATCGTTTCTTACGGTATTTTCGCCCGAAATAGACTCGATCGGAACGTCTCGAATACTTTCAAACGGTACATCACAATTGCTATCGGTGTGTTTTTTTGGCACAGACAACGGTCGTCGGTTTGGCTGGAATTC